AAGTAATGAACACTTCATGTTCACACAGCTCTAATAAATACACAGTATAAAACCTTGGGTAAAATGACAAGCCATTATCTTTAGAGGCGAGGCGGCGACACATCTCTTCGTCACCTGTGAAAGCCCCTTTTCTGTGGTGAGACCCTTTAGGATTTTGTTCTCGGTAATCACCTGTGCTGTTGGCCTTGTCATGAATAAACGCAGTGTGTGTGAAGAGCAGATTGCTTCTGACATCACACCAGGCTCTCCCCACCCCTCACTGTGTGTGCAGCATTGGGTCTCAGGTTGCTGATTTGGGTGCAGTAATTTGCCATTAGACCAGGGACAGGTGCAGCTGCCTTTGTTTGCAGCGCTAACAAGGCATTTCATCATGGTTAGCTCCAGCCTGGTGCTCTGCTCAGCTCTTGTTCTTGTCACAATATCACACACACACACACACACACACACACACACACACACACACACACACACACACACACACACACACACACACACACACACACACACACACACACACACACACACTGGTTGTCTCTAACGTGGCTGTTCCACATGAAGGCCTGGTGCTGGGTAGAATGAAGGGTTTGGGTTGAGAAACCTGCATTGCCGCCTTGTAAGTAAAGGAGCGGCTCTGCAGTGTGCTGCTGACGGGCTGACCCTGTGTAGGAAGGGCAGGCTCACTGGATTGTTTTAAGTCGTATTTCCTCTGACTGTAAAGCACTGCATTGTATTCTGTTCGGAGAGGAGCACAGAGGAGCTTAATTCATAAAGCTTTCTTTTGAAAAATTGAAAGCTTCCCTGGCTGTTAAGCTTGCGGAAAACCTGCCTCAAACTTTTCCAGATTGTGGATGTTTTGTATTCCTCACTTACTATTGCTGCGATGTGCTTTGAAGTTACTTTCAGAAAAAGGAGCATTGAAGCATGCTGACCTTTTTAAAGACGTTTCGTTTTCTAATATGTTACAGACTTTTTATGTGAAATTATAGAATGGTCTGAAAATTACCATATGGAACATTAGATCATTTGACATTTTTGGGCAGCTGTTTCTTCACATTTAGCCTAATTGAGTGTAATTTATCAGTTACACACTAACAATAAGCTAATGTCAGCATATAATGATGAATCAATACATATGAATCTCAGCGGTTTTGTGTAAAGGTCACAATGAAGGAAACGCAATGGAGACTGAGGAGCATTTGAAATAAACTCCTCGTTTGCCATCTGTCGCACCAGAAGGATCCTTTGAAATGATGAAAGTAGTAGAGCACGATTGGAAAAAATACATTTTGTACAAATAAAATCGTATTTCACAGTCAGACTCCAGTTTGTGAATGAACTGCAGAGTATTGAGGTCACCCGAAGTATATTTTCTGTTAATGGATCGTCAACATTAGACAGGGCTATATGCCTCCCTTGAGTTTCCATTGCCAGGTGGTTCCCGCATCAGCCCTTACCCCACCAACTCTCACACACGCGCACACGCGGTTTCCTTGGCCATCTCCCAAGGCGGTCAAACAGATTACTACGGGCGTTAACCTCATCGATCTGCTCCAAATGGCCTCCAAATGCCAGGAATTAGATTTGAGACTCGGGAAGAGGGAAATAAAACGCTGTAGTATTTCTTGCAGCTCAACTTGGGAGTTAAGTGCTGCTGTGCCTTGGCCATTGTACCAGTTCTTCGTCGGACCTCCTCTGCGTTCGGTAGCACAGTTACATTTGTCTCCTTTATGCCTCGTTTAGAGCGTATTTCTCTGAGGAAATTGGGAAGTAAGATACAGCCTGTACCCAAATGTCTCTTTCACTGCTCGGGAAATCCTTGAAAAAATAAATAAAGTCTGATCTGCTTTTCTAAGGAAGTGAAAGAGAGGTTATTTTAACTCTTATTCTTCTCATGTACTGAATTCAGGGGCAAACGAGATTCAAACTAATCGATACAAAATTGCCTTGGATTTGATATTGAAATGCGTTTTCCGTAACTGGTAATCTGCAGGGCACCCTGTGCAGCGGCTGAGCATCACCCACTGAATCAATCTCAGTCATTGTTGGGTAATAATGGAGGGCAGGTTTATAATACTGGTTGCTTCTGCTTTATTAGTGAGCTGATACCTCTCCTCTCCGGTCTTTCTCTCCATCTATTCAACATGTGTCTGCCCTTTCTTCCACTAGCCCATGGACTTGCTGCTTTACTCTTTGTGTCCCGTTATAATCCGACGCCTCTCCCCCGTCCGTCTTGCTTTGTCCATCCGGCATTAAGCTCTACAGTCTTTCTTAACTGCAAAAAGTATTGATGAGTGGTCGTGCTGCCTAATGAGAGGCTAAATATAACCATTGCACACCGGCCCTGCTGCGGCCTCCTCCCTCATCTCGTGCACAAAGTGTGGATAGTCACACTGTTGGCATGACAACACACCGGTCAAGGCTCTGCGATCAGCCACAACAGATTTTGTGCATGTGTGCCCGGTAAAAGTATAAGAGGATGAATGAACAGCCGGGATGAACAAAGAATGTGAGGAAAGAAAGAAAGCTTTCTATTTTATTTTAGCTTGTTGTTTTTCTTTCACTTGCTGATCGTTTTTTTTTTTCCGCCCTGAAAAAGCTTGAGTTTCTCATATTGGCGATATTTCATTACTTACTGTAACTTCACATGAGTGATTCCATAGTCATCTGAGAAAATTAGATATATAATTAGAACTAAAATGGTTAGTTAATGAATCGTTTAGTAGGCCGAAAGAAAAATAATTGGTAATTATTTTGTAAATCGATAAAACGTTGAGGTCATTCATCAAACAATAATGACACAATTTGTTAAGATACAGCTTCTTAATGTGGAGACTTTGCTTCTGTTTTTTGTCTTGTGTCAAAGTGAACTGAGGATATTCAGATTTTGAAAAGTCGGGTGAACAAAAAACGGCAATTTAAACATGTTTTCTTGGGCTATGGGAAACTGTGATGGGATATTTTACCGACCAAATGAGTAATAGATTCCATCAGGATGAAAAACAGCACACGAGTCCGTCTGATGCTCCCCACCCCCTGTTTTGAAATGCTGTAAACCATTTTCTGCAGAGGGAGGAACATAACCATTCTTTACCACCTACACGACATTGTCACTCTCCTTAATAAATCAGCTTAAACCTGCAATATCACCAAGCTCTATTGTACTCATGTTGACAAGTTTAGTTGCCCACATTTCTCTTCTGTTGCATGGTAACCAATCAGAGTCACCATCCAACCAACCATCCTTGTTATGGCCAGCTGGAGAGAAATGAATGATAAGAGTATGCAAATGGGATATCTTCTTTAATAGCCTGCTGTTTCATTCAGCTGTGTGGCCAGGATAAGGAATCCCCACTGTATCTAATCACATCCTCTCCCTCTCATTCCACCTGAGGCCTATCAGCAATCTAGCTCATTTTTGACTGACATGACAGCATACATTGTTCTCCACCAACATGAACGTACATGCATCAAAGAGGAACCTTAATTTCATCAGCAGATGTTCTTCTACTTCAAACACTAAAATAATCTGACGATTTAAATCATATGATTAAACCAGATTGGAGGGCTGTGTGGACGATGGCTGTATCAGCAGCTCATCGTGTGACTTTCAAGGTTGTTTCTGTCATCGACCTTAATTTAGGACTCAGCCACGATCATCCTCAGCTCAAAACGAATTGACCCGACAAGAGATGAACACAGTTTGTTAAAATGTGCTGAGCCCGCAGCAACGTTATCTGGCTTGCCCCTAATACAGTGACCATCAGATCACAACACACGGTCCTACATGTCTGGTTAGGAGAATCATTCCTCCACATTCGATTTTCTGTTTTTCAATCTGCGGTTGCGGCTCGTCTGTGCTGCTCTTCAGAGGGAAATCTCATTCAGTTGCTGGCTGATGGCTAACAAGGTCAAATAACTCTCAAGATGAGAGGGAGTGTGTTGGAAGACGCTAACACACACACACACACACACACACACACACACACACACACACACACACACACACACACACACACACACACACACACACACACACACACACACACACACACACACAACCTGCCATTCGGTCAGTCCATCTATGTGTCTGCCTCACAGGAACAGAATTGAGCGGCAGTAATGGAGGACTGAGGAGGGAAGTGTTTACTGCAGATAGGAATATCATTACAAACTGTGGAAATCAGAGAATAACAGCAAAACCCGTTAGCCATCAGCTCATGTAGCAATCAATAGGAAGCTACACTGTTTCTATTTCTGCTATCTCTCATTCCTCTCTCTCTCCTCCCTTTTTCGCACACTTTTTTCCTCCGGTTGCTATAGTGACGTGAAATGGCTGCGTTCTGCAATGTGGATCAGAGCGGGGGCTCGCTCTGTGAGATACATCGCTTTAAATGATGCTTTCAAAACACACAACCAAGGCTGTAATTACTGTGTGTTAGCATATGCCTCTGCGCTCAGAGAGTATAATAAGTTAAATGTTATTTAAATGTCACATCGTTTTTCATAAACAGTAGGCCTATACATTACAATGAAATGACACCAGTGGCTATACTTTTTTGTAGTGCATCCATCACAGTATGTCAGAGTATAATGAAATTGTGTGCACGGCAGTTTTTCTTGGGCAGCTGGTAATTATAGATTAACTCACAGATTATGGTATGGCCGGACTTCTTTGACTAATATCTAAAACAATCTCATTTTCTCTGAATAAAGAAACGAAAATAATATATAATGTGTGTATTTTTTGCAGAGTGTGGATCTTAAAATATGGAATTAATATGGATTTGTACATTCTTTTGTCTTGTGCCAGTCTCATTGTAGCCCAACATTGGCTGGAATAACTTTACCTCCCTTACTCCTCCTGCAGTATATCCTTGTCCTACTTCCTCTTGAGTTTTACAATAACACTTAACACAAATCTCTCTTTTTCTTGTGTCTTCTTCTTCTCCCCCTTTCTCCCCGCTCCCACCTCCACCTTCACCCCCTCTCTCGATGTATAGTGTGACAACGCCAAGGGGCTGAGGGCCTTCTTCGATGCCATATGCTACGGCCCCAAACACCTGATGATCTTCGGCGGCGTGTGCCCTTCAGTGACCTCCATCATCGCAGAGTCTTTGGAGGGCTGGAACCTGGTGCAGGTAGGGTTTGCACTACGATGGTGTTTGTGTGTGTGTGTGTGTGTGTGTGTGTGTGTGTGTGTGTGTGTGTGTGTGTGTGTGTGTGTGTGTGTGTGTGTGTGTGTGTGTGTGTGTTATACTGTATATAGCCTATGTTCCAGTGTTTGTGAATCCTGGATTTGTTACGCCAGTATAAAATAGACTAGCTTATTCCTTTTGTACTTTTGTATACATGGTTATTTTCTTGTTTCTGCATTACTATCAGAAACCCTGAACTTGCTGCTTGATTAAGTTTCCAATATTGCCCCTTAGAAGTGCAGTGTGCAGATAGGACCTGGGTTTCAAAGGGGTCCTAAATCATGGCTTAATCCTTCATTAACCTTGCCAGGGTGAATGTCTAATTAGCATTGCTCTAATCCGTACAATCCTCCCTCATTTTAGGATCTGACAGAGTAAAAAAAGGCTTAAACCCATTGTGGTAGTTTAGCTCAACTTCCACTGAGCCTTAAAATTGAAGAAAACATTTTGTCAAATGATAAGGGCATCTCCTGTGGCATATGTTTGTGGGGTGTTTTGTCATTGGTATGAGCTAATAAAGGTTTTACTACACAGTCCAGTCGATGTTAATTACCTGCTGAACATTCACATAATAGATTCTACCATTCAATTATGCGCTTGCTTGCTGAATGACATTTGCTGCCATTAAATTAGTGCAGCTTTATGATTGCTCACTGTAGGCATTAAACACCACTCGTTCTTGTATGTGGTGAACCTTTGACCCCCTCAGTTATTGCATACAGTTTCTCTGACTGTGAACTGTACTGCAGAACCAAAGAGGGGAAATGCTTCCTTCCAAACAATACATTTAATTCGCCACAAACCCTTCAAAGGTTATCGGGCACAGATAAGAAAAGGAGTGAAGCTCGTGCTTGGAAGTGATAATAAATTCAAGAGGCTGCATTTTGAACTGAATGTCACATTACTTGGCATATTTCTACGGCTTGCAATTACTGTGAATCTGCTGCTTTTCATGTTCCTTTCTGCTCGCTCGCCTTGTCAGGGTCACTCGAGTGAAAGATCGGCAGGATGAGGAAATGAAAGGAGGAGTCATTTTTTGTTTACTGCTTTTCCGTGGTAATGATCTCAGTCTAGAAAGAGGCGTTCCAGCCACAGTTGAAGTTGAAGTGCTCTCAGGTATTTGTGTGTTTGTATGTGTGCTTCCTCTTTCTATTTATGGGCTTGTTTGTCAGTGATTACCTGTGAGAAGTGCAGTAGCAATCTCCTGCTCTGCAGAACACTGCCTGGTACAATGTGTTCCCCAGAGCACTTTACCAACCAGGCTCTTTCCCTACACACACAGACCAACAACAACCAATTCATGCCGGTTTGATCCTAAAAAGACATTGTCTGAGCACCACACGAAAAGTGATTTAGGGAAAATGTGAGGAAATGGCTTAGAAAAGACCTTGAATGAACCTGTGTTTAAAGTAGATGCCTTTTACATGTAACACTTGTATTCAATGGCAAGGGCGCATGTTGTTGCTGTTGCTACAAGCAACTAAATCGCTTTTTAAGGCAAGACAAGTGTGTAGTTACAAGGGCAATCTGAAGGTATTTATTTATATAAGTTAGCTTTCCAGCAGCATGCAACAACTCTTTACACGTTGAATCTGGGGCTGTGATTTGTTTTTTGACACAGGGCTTATATATGATTCAATATATTGAGACTGAAAGTATGGCTATATAACACACAACCTTATATGCAGAAAATCTGAGAAGCATTTCTACTTTGTTTGTAATCTGAGTCCATGTCTGCCACTGATATTTGCATCTAAACTACACTGTAAAATATTACCATGATTTCACAATATTTAGCTGTAATATTTTACAATAAATTACTGTTTTACCACTTTACAGTCTTTACCTGTAATGTTCACAATATAACACTGTAATTTAGAATTTCACAGTGAAATCAATGCAGGCACAGTTAATTACTGTGAATGTACAGGATAAATGATTACCAGGATTTCACAACATGTTACTGTATTATTTCACAGTAAAATACTGTATTCAGACAATCCTCTGTGATAACACAATAAATTAAGGGATTTTCTTGCTTTTATCGCTCTTGCTTGGCTTTAAATATGAATTTCTTTCTTTGGTGCAGGTTATACTTAAATTGAAAGGGGCACCACTGCATGTGCCTTAAAATAAACGATCCAACATATAAATATGTAAAATTGAAATTGTTGTCTTGGCTTAGTGTTTTCAGGTGCTTCATGGGCATTAATCCTGAGACGGGCTCGAAAGCCAAAAAGAGGCATGGCAATTTAAACCCCCTTGTCAGCACATTCTTCAGATTGTTTTTTGACTTTGAGTGGATGTCTGTGTAGACATGTGTTAGTGCTCCCCTCCTTGTTTTCTTTTCTGTCTCCCTGGCTCCGCCTCTGCCCAGGTGCACCTGGTCTGCCCCTGGCTCCGCCTCTGCCCAAGTGTTCCAAATTCCACTCAGCCGTGTATATATAAAGAGAAGCTGGAGGAGAAGGATGTGTCGCCGATCCTGACGCCGGGAGACACTGTCCTTAGAATACCTCTTTGCCATTTTGAGCTGTAGGCCATATTTTTGCAGGGACCTGGTAGTCCAGTTTTCGCGGCTTTATTTTGTTTCCCATAGGGTTTATATTTGATTTCTGGTTAGGGGGGAGCTCTGGGTCCTACGGCCCGTGGTGTGGCTGGCTCGGGCTCCCTCCTTCTGTTTGTTCCTTTTGGCCAGTCCTCCAGACCTCTTTTTGTTTCCCGTTTCGCTTGTTTGAGCAAAGGGCTGATTATCAATAAATGCTCGTTACCAAGAACCGGTTATTGCGTGTATTCTTTCATGTTGCGGGCCTCAGCACGAGCCATTACCGCGGAGTAGAGGTTGGGGCCGTAACAACATGTCCAAGAAACTGTGAAATGCACTTTGCACTTCAATGGAGTAATAAAAAGTTTAAATGGGCATTTTCTTTGTTTTTCTTTGTTGATTGAGCTGATTGAATTGTGTAGTTATGGCACAATCACAGTCAAATTTACAATATTATCGTATTATTTAGATTTGTATATTTACAGTAAATTACTGGCTACTGTGTTGCATTACTTCTACAGTAAAAGTGTAAAAATACAGGTAATTACTGTAATTTATGTACAGCAAGGTACCATAATACCACAGCTCTGTACTGTTATATCACAGTAATTCCATGGGCATGGCAACTGTAAAGTCACAGTATTTAGTTGTACTTTTATTCTAATTTACTGTAAAATATATACAGTAAATTACTGTGAAATATTTACAGTAAATTGCTGTGAAATCCATGCGACTAGTAGCCAGTAATTTACTGTAATTTTACAGCCAAATATTTTACAGTGTATACAACCTATAGAAATGCAAAATGGCGTCAGTTTAAAGTAATCCTGTCCTTCTGTTTACCGCATCATTTATGAGAATACATTTCTTAACAAGAGAACATCATCGAGGGATGATCAATAACATTTGCGTATTTATTTATTTCTCCAAGATACGTTTTTGTGTGTACTGAGGAGTCTCAAACAGGCGTTTGTTTAATCATTTTAAGATTGGCTTTAATCAATTTGTGAAAATTAATTCTCCATATATGATAAATGAGAGGTAACATTTTATTTATGGTATTATTTCTCCATTCTTCCTTCTGCCAACGGTCTCGCAGTCTCTCGTCTCTCCCGTTTTTGTGCGTAGTGCATACGCATGGGTCAGAGTTTGCGTGGAGTACAGCACATTTCCCCGTCAAGTTTGTTTTTTATAAATCGGAAACATTGCGTAGAAACTGGAATGCGCCATCTTTTGAGCGTAAGCACCGTTTACAAATGGCCCCTGGACTCCAATCTGTCCGATTGACTGTCATGTACAACATAAAGGCATTAAATGTTATCGCAGCAGCGGATTTCTGGCCTCTAATCCTGATCTGACTCACTCAGGCAGAAGCTCCCAAAGAACAGGACCATTTTGGACTCCAACAGGTATACGTTTCTTTCCCACTGATGATCTGCATTATTAAATACGTGTACTTGTTTGTATGAAAGAACATGTCAAGTTTTTGGACCCTGAATAAACCTGTGGANTTTTAACGTATATTAAAAAAACGGGGACATTTCCGGGGACAGTTTCAACCGGGGACAGGTCAATACAAACGGGGACTGTCCCCGGAAAACGGGGACGTCTGGTCACCCTAGTTTAGTCAGGCTAGTGGCATGGCTAGGTGGCTAGTTCTTTCAAGTGAATAGCCTCACACTTTTAGACAAGTTTGCTATAAATTGTTGTGCATTAATTTACATTGCCTATATTAGCACTATCATTAACCTTTAGCTGCATGTCTTAAGCGTTGATTAGCACATGTTAACATGTTAGTTAAAATCCTAAACCGAGAAGGTTAGCATTAAGAACCGCTAGTACAACTAGCGGTAGTACCCTCTTTGTGTAATAACCTAGAGAAGTGAAAATAAATTCCCAAACCTTATTCTGGACTTCCATTTCTTCATCATGTTGAGCCACACGATAGAGTACAATCTGTAATTTCCCAAAGCTCATCTGCATGGCCTGAAACAGCCGTATGGCTAGCCCGGCCCACAGCAGGTCACTGCCTGCAAAATGCCACGCACTAAAATGTACATAAATGAATCTGACGTTATGGTGCTGCTGATTGTCCTCTGTCCAAATGGGTCTGTAGAAGAGCATTCTTCCAATGAGAGCTAGAAAACCGCCGATTGATGGTCTAGCTGAGCGAGGCCGGAACCTTCCTTTGTATTCCTGCTCAATCCTCGACGCTTCCTGCTTCATGTACACTGAAGAGTCACAAAACATAGATAATATTATTATATAAGATACATTGTTTATGCTTTTTGGGTACATATATATATATATATATATATATGGATAAACCTATAATTCAAAGCAGAGTGAAACACTGAGATGTAGGTAAAACACCATGCTGGGTAATGGCTTGGACTCAAACAGGATATAAATAGAAGTTATGTGGAATATTATAGCCATAACTTTGGTACTTAGACTTATTTAGCTTGCACCAACTCTGGCCATGGTGCTAGACCTGAAGCCAAAATAATCAGTCAGCAGGAAAACTAATGGTATGCAGAAGATTGTGCTTTTCAATCTGTAATTCCAATGTAGAGCCATTGAAAACCATATTTATTAGTCTGTTTTAAATCCTTTCAAAGCGTTATATTTGTATCAACAAGTCCAACTCATACGACCAAATAGGTCGATTGTTCAACAGCTTATTACGACCTATAGTCACGTTTTAAAGTTTAGCACCTCTGGTGGTTGTGTAAGAAACAACAATGTGCAGCATATGGGCTAACCCAGTCTCACGGCATTTCATGTAATAGTCACGAAATAAATGTAATCTATTGATTCGTGTTTACCAACACGATTTTCCCATTTTTTTCGTGTCACACAGAACGATTTTAAAAGCAATGTATTTCTATTGGTAGTATGTTTCGTGCCTGCACCACGTCTTTTTGTCCGGTCGGGTCTTGTGGTTCATAAAAACATTTTCTTACCCACGATTATTGTTTTTATTTAAATTGTATAATGTCTGACTTTCTTTTGCAGTCCGCGAGGAAAATAAATTGGGCTCAGAGCCTCAGAATAATGAAATCTGTATTCTTTAAATATGTTTTTCCTTCTAATTTGTTATTATTTGGTGCAGACACGAAACATACTACAAATGGAAATACATTGGTTCTAAAATAGTTCTATCGGAATTAAGGATGGGTATCGTTAGGATTTTATCGATACCGGTACCGGTACTGCTTATCGGTATCGGTATTTTTCGATACTCTTATCGATACTTTTCAATAATTTGGTGTTAATAAACTAAAAAAAGACAAGGCGATGTGCCTGCAAGACTGCACCCAGGTAAACAAAAACATATTACCCGTGCGCAGCAGCTAACCTGCCTGCGAGCCTTCGCTCAGGTCACATTTACACACGGCGCGGCTGAAGCCCGCTAGCACTATTAGCACTAGCAGTAGCTGCACCGTTTTAGATTCAATGAGTGTCTCGGTTGCAAATGCTTCATTAAGTTGCTTGTGTCACCCCCATTACAAGCAACTAATTGAGTACATAGATTGCACCTTGCACTATCGCCAATACATGTTTTTAAAGTGCACCCAGACCTAGGATCACTTCGCTCTGTCCGCCATTCCTGCGGGAGTCTTACAACAATAATAAGAGCGCTGTTGAGAGAGATGAGGAGTGGCATTTACAGTGGCCAATCAGAGGGGTCTCAAACCGGATACATCACACGGGATGAGGGTTCCCAACCAACCAGAATGGTTTAAAGNATGGCAGAAAATCTGAGAGCATTTTCTACTTTGTTTGTAATCTGAGTCCATGTCTGCCACTGATATTGTCATCTAAACTAACACTGTAAAATTTACCATGATTTCACCAATATTTTAGCTGTAATATTTTACAATAAATTACTGTTTTACCACTTTAGCAGTCTTTAACCTGTAATGTTCACAATATAACACTGTAATTTAGAATTTCACAGTGAAATCAAATGCAGGGCAGCAGTTAAATTACTGTGAACTGTAGGGCAGGATAAATGATTACCAGGGATTTCACAACATGTTACTGTATTATTTCACAGTAAAATACTGTATTCAGACAATCCTCTGTGATAACACAATAAAATTAAGGGATTTTCTTGCTTTTTATCGCTCTGCTTGGCTTTAAATATGAATTTCTTTGCTTTGGTTGCAGGTTATACTTAAATTGAAAAGGGGCACCACTGCATGTGCCTTAAAATAAACGATCAACATTATAATGATGTAAAAATTGAAAATTGTTGTCTTGGCTTAGTGTTTTCAGGTGCTTCCATGGGCATTAATCCTGAGACGGGCTCGAAAGCCAAAAAGAGGCAGGCATTTAAACGCCCTTGTCAGGCACATTCTTTCAGATTTTTTTTTGGCTTTGAGTGGATGTCTGTGTAAGACATGGTGTTAGTGCTCCCTCTCCTTGTTTTCTTTTCTTCTCTCCCTGGCTCCGCCACTCTGCCCAGGTGGCACCTGGTCTGCCCCTGGCTCGCGGGGCCTCTGGCCCAGGTGTTCCACAAATTTCCACCTCAGTCCCGTGTATATATAAGAGAGAGCTGGAGGAGAAGGATGTTCGGCCTATCCTTGACGCGGAGACACTGTCCTTAGATACCTCTTTGCCATTTTTGAGCTGTAGGCATATTTTTGCAGGGACCTGGTAGGTCCGGTTTTCGCGGCTTATTTTGTTTCCGCATAGGGTTTATATTTGATTTCTGGTTAGGGGGAAGCTCTGGTCCTACGGTCCGTGGTGTGGCTGGCTCGGTTCCCTCCTTCTGTTTGTTCCTTTTGGCCAGTCCTCCAGACCTCTTTTTGTTTCCCGTTTCGCTTGTGTGAGCAAACGGCTGATTATCAATAAATGCTTGTTACCAAGTACCGGTTATTGTGTGTATTCTTTTCATGTTGTGGGTCTCACCACTACCGCGGAGTAGAGATTGGGGCCGTAACATGTCCAAGACACTGTGAAATGTACTTTGCACTTCAATGGAGTTATACAAAGTTAAAATGGGCATTTTCTTTGTTTTTCTTTGTTGATTGAGCTGATTGAATTGTGTAGTTATGTGAAATCCCAGTTAACTAGTCAGATTTACAATATAATATTGTATTATTTACATTTTTATATTTACAGTAAATTACTGGCTAATGTGTTATATTACTTCTACAGTAAAAGTGTAAAAATACAGGTCATTACTGTAATTTATGTACAGCAAGGTACCATAATACCACAGCTCTGTACTGCTGTATCACAGTAATTCCATGGGCATGGCAACTGTAAAGTCACAGTATTTAGTTGTACTTTTATTCTAATTTACTGTAAAATATATACAGTAAATTACTGTGAAATATTTACAGTCAATTACTGTGAAATATTTACAGTAAATTGCTGTGAAATCCATGCAACTAGTAGCCAGTAATTTACTGTAATTTTACAGCCAAACATTTTACAGTGTACCTGTGCAGTGTTTCTGACAATACATACAGTTTTACAAAACACAAGACATAATTATCTGCCTTTACTATTTGTCTACAAACAAGTGAGTGCAAATATGTGTGTGTTGTGAATCTGATGTGGCGGTATATCAGACTCTTGGTAGCAGTTTTATGAGATGCAAGATGTCCATGCAGACCAGAGCTACATCCCAATGACTCACCAAGCAGCCATAATGTTCACTGGAAATCTGGAGAAAGACACGTCAGTGGATGTAAACAACTCACCAGATAGCTATTAGTTGTCCATTGGAGCGTACATTGGCAGAAAGGTAGCACCTGTGTGTTTAGCTATCATGTTCTTACCAAGCTGGTCCTTGCACCTGCCAGCCAGACTGCTGGCCTGAGCCAATTGACTTTCATGAGCTCCCACTGAACATGTGTGTCCGTTGGTATACCATGTGTGTATGGGCATGTGTATTCAGAAGAGACGGACATCTCTCTGAAGGACAGTTTTGGTGGGATTTAGTATTTTTCTGAACGAGGGAATAAAGAGATTGACTAAGACAACAATCAAAGCGAAAGAGAGAAAGGGAAGTAGAGATGATTGGAAAGTTTTGAATCATGAACCCCACACAATTAATATTCATCAGCAGGATTGTTGTTTTTTTAAACTGTACTAAAACTGTCATTCTGCATATTCATTACCCAGCCCTGGCACCCGGTTAGCCAAATGTGATGTTGTGTGGAGGGAAAAAGAGAATTTTTCATGAAGTCTTTATGGGCCAGGCTTAATAAGATCATCATTTCCACATCAAAACAGGGAGCTGACTGATACCATCGACAGTAGAGAAAGCTGACAGAACAACCAGCCCTGGAAAAGGGTTATTCGTACACCCATAAAAATAGCTTTCAATCATTCCTGATGTCTAATGAAGTCTGCTTTGAAAAGCTGAACAAAAATAAAATCAATTGCATACACTGCATCGTGCTCTATGCAAACATTTGAATGGAAATATCAAACTTAAAAAGCAACACTGGTATTACAAGAGCCAATGATACTTATTTTATTACCAGATGTTAGAACTATGGCTTTAAAAGCAATGTATCCCTAAACCTCCCTTACTGTATAAGGATTAGGATATGATCAAACAATTCACAAACTAGTAGTAATGCTCATTGAGACGATTGAGGAAGGAGCAAAAGAGGCAGACAAAAAAAAGATAAGATACATATATAGAGCAATAGTTTGTGCCTTTTAATTTAGGCAATGCAATTGTGTATCAATTTCATTGTGTAGTGCGCTTCAACTGCAGAGTATGTAGCATTTGTGTACCAAGAAATGCCCGGATGGTTACTACCATTTCTATAGTATAGTATGAGTTGTGAGCGTGGTTAGATGCTCCCAAAGTGCATTGCGGCTCCTCAGACTCTCCAATATGGCAGACTGAGACACAGACAGTTTAAATAATTCATTGTAAGTCAGTGATGTTAAGATACAGTTAAAAGGAGTATGCCAGAGATCACATATACAAAATGTAACGTAAAAGACGTAGGGAAAAGTGAAGGAGGTTATTTTGATTTACATATTTGATCAGCAGTTTTAATTTAAAGATAGGGCAGACATGTAACCATGTGATTGATACAGTCATGTGACCCAGAGGAAACATATTGCCTGAGTGTATTTCAGCGCCAACAGTCTGCAGCTAACAGCATACGTAATCATACATTAGGCAGAATGCAGTACAGTACATTTTGATTAGTAATAAATGATATACTTTCACCTCTACAGTATAGAC